AAACTCTTAAAACAGTGTTGGCACATAGTAAATGCTCAATTAATGGTAGCTGTGATTATAGTTAGGTTCTAAATTGGTAGATTACATGCATTCCTGTGGTTTGAAAAAGATAAGCCACAAGAAAAAAAAATTGTGGTGAGGATCAAATCCAGGGCCTTATAAATGCTTACCTCAGAGCTACATCCCCAGCCCTGCTATTGCATTCAATTAAACATATACTAGCTAATTGAAATGTCTTGGTGCTTATGCAAAAATGACTAAACTTAGTACTCAACTAGAAGATGAAAATACAATATAATTCTAATATGGTACAAACAACAAAAAGCTCTAAAGTAAGTATGTAAACTAGGTAGTAGAAGAATATGAGAGAAAAGAATTTCTATCTGCCCAGGGACAAAAATCTAAAAATATAAATATTATATAGAATTCGTGTAAGAATCTAAATCTTCTGACCTATTCATTCATTTGTTTATACATTTAGCAAATGAGGCAATATGCTAGGAAACAGATTTTAGTTATTGTAAGAAAATCTCCAGTACCATACTCTGTATAGGCTTTTTGTAGATAAAATACATTAACCTAATACAACAATACAGGCCAGTGATTTGTGAGCTACATTGAATATTAGATTGTGTTGCATGGAACAATCTAAAACTTTTTGGTAAAAGGATCTGCTCTAATCTGTTCCGCACTCTGAAGTACTATTCCCCAGTAATTTCACAAGAAGTGTAGTTTTGCCATCATTTTTTTTTTAACTGAGATGACTTTGATACCGAGTGGTCATAAACTTTGCCTTCTTCACGTAAAATTTTTCCTTATAGCATGTACCTTTCGTTGTGGTTCACAGTGGTGGCTTTGGAGCCAAGTGGCCTTGGCTTATAATCATGGCCTCAACACCTTGGGAAAGGTGATGGATTTTTAGACTTCAGATCCTCACATCTGAGAAATGAAATGGAATGCTGCCCATGGGGTGCTTGTCCTGTAGCACTCAGAAAGTGCTCGCTGCCAGGGAGCCGTGGTGCTGGTGGCAGGTCCCTGTCTGCCGACTGCCAAGGGGTTTTTATCTCACTCAAGTGCAAACCTAACTATGCATTATTCTGTGTTTTGCAGATGTCAAATCAAGAGTTGTTTTCACTGAGTCCTTCAGAAACAGGGGAGCTGGAGACAACCAGGCAAAGCCAGAGCACTCACGAACCTCTCCTCAGTAAGTTGTCTCTGGCATCAGCTGGCCACGTTAGTTTTCCAAAAACTTCCTCTTACTCACTGTTTTCAGGCACAGGAGACTTCTGAAGAAGCACACTGTTTTAAAACTAAGATTTTTCTCATTCCAAATTCTAAATAGAAAAACCATACTCTTGATTTTAAAATATAGGTGCCATGAAGAATTCAGTTGTTATATTTCAGTCGGTTTTAGATGTTGCTGAATACATGCAATTTACTTATTTATTTATTTATTTTATTTTTTTATATTTTTTTTTTTAGCTTTTAGGTGGACACAATATCTTTATTTTACATGTTTGTGGTGCTGAGGATTGAACCCAGTGCCTTGTGCATGCTAGACAAGCGCTCTACCACTGAGCCACAACCCCAGCCCAGAATACATGC